ACCGACAGTGGGCGACCACGTCGGACTATTAAACCGAGATATGATAAGATGATTCGAGCGTCAGAGAATGTCCGCCGCCATCCTCCTCTCTGGTAGGGTTTGCATATGCATGACACGATTACCTTTCAGGTTTCCGTTAGCAATGGGGACTCTAGAGCAACACTATGGGGAGGCCTCTCTCCTACCTATACCGATAAGCGTTTAACTCGCTTATATATTCGCATTAGATGACACCCCTGGGATGAGCATGTCCGGCGTAAAAGATGTCGACGTGTGAGCTCTAAGTCCCACAGTGGACAGTGAAAATACAAATGGCAGCTGAGGTAGATTATGTGCACACTGAAGGAGATGGTGATGAGCCTCGACAAACAAAAATTAAACAATGAGGCCCTGAGTCTAGACGTTCAACGTCTGACGGCATCCTCCGCACTAACGGCAGCAAACAAAGGCCCAGTTCAACAACAGATCTCTAATAGCAATGAAAGCCGACTCTAAGTTAGACTGTCGGCATTCGCTAATTGCTGCTATTTGATTGGCTCTCGCGGCCCAGGGGCCTGGCATCGTTAACGGCGCTGATGACTGCTCGCTTGATTATTGGCAAATCGATCAGATAACGCGCTTGCTTTCGCGCGAGCGCTCTGTCGGGCCATTTCCTGCTCGCCCACGTTGCTGCGCGCACGCGGTTTCTGCTCTCGCGTTGTCCATTGACCCTGCACATATTCTCTGTTTCCATAACCCTGTTTTCTTGTTTTATCGTAGATGCTGACGAAAATATCGAAGCGAACAATCAGAAGACGTGTTCAGCGTGGTCTTCGCGCACGTTTTCAAGCAACTGCAGAGAATATGAGGAAAAGGTATCCGTCCGACTCAGCGTCATCCCCGTGGAATAGTATCTTATCCTCCAATTCCTACACCCACACGGAGACTTGTTCTTCTGACGAAGAAGCTTGTTTCCCTTAAACGGCTCCGTACACTAAGCTAGATGAATCTACACGAGAGACAGTGAGTTTTTACATAGACTTGACTCTCCTAACCATATTGTCCTGCTGGGTTGCAGATTGCTATGTCCAGCAGCGAGGGAGAAAGTAGAAGGAAGCAGCCGAAACGATCGGCCAAAAATCCGTATGAAAAGGAGGGGGTTTGGACCTTCCCCGTACTCTCCTCGTCTTCAGTAGGACTGTGACTTGAATAACATTTCCTCCATTTCAGAAGTCGGATACGAATCACAGCGACTCCAGTGCGACCATGAACTTAGACGGGTCTCCACACGCAGGTATTTGTCATCTCAACTGACCTGTTCGCCCTAGGCATGAGAAGAAGGCATCGAAAGCGTCGACGCGACACCTCGCCATCAAGGCGCAGGAAGAATACTTTGAAAGTCTGTCTGCGCTGGATCATGGAAAATTTGGTCCATACGGCAAAGACCGTAGAAGACATGAAAATTAAATTAGATATCCTCTACGACAGCCGCCAGGGACATGGATGTTTTTGCGGGTCAACACCCACTCCAGCACGTCATGGGCCCCTGTTCCAGCGGATGGCTACCCTGGAGGAGCTGGATGACTTTACAACCGCTATAATGTATACGAAGTTCAGACAGCAAGCGGTAAATATACCCTGTAATTCAACATTTCTTACTAGATTTCTTACCTCACGGATAACGGAGGGGACACTATTTCCGCCTTCGCGGATAGAACGTTCAGTATCCTGTTTGATGACAGGATAATCCTACACTTAACTTTCTACGGCCGGCCCCAGGAGAAGAGGGTTTTCTATGGATTCAAACCGTACGGTTTGGTTGTCGGCACATCATCCAATTTTGTTATGTCATGTAACAACATAGATGCTTTCACAGTGTGGGACGCTGCGCGCAATTGCGACTAGCACCAACTAGAGAAGGCTTTCCGGACTGCCTTCAGGAAGGCTTACGACCGACTGCACGGGCGAGGTCATAGACTATCATCCTCACAATGCCCGGACGGTTAGTGATGTCTTTATAACGCCTTATCCCTTAATTCGTGTCTCTTTACCACAATTCTGTTGGTGTTCAATGTTTCACTTGACACTACAATTAGTATCCTCTTCTTTGATTCCAGAGTACGAAAGAAACCAGTCATCCCCTGGCCCGGCCGGTCCCTCAACACAGCCCTAAATTAGGCCAATTGTACATACAGCTTTAAACGGCTTTTTCGCCATTTGTTTTCGCTCCTTTAGGGAATAATACTTTAAATAATTCTTTTTGATAAAAAGCTATTTTAAATAAATAAAAAAACAGCCTTCCTTATGTCCTGTTTAAGAAAAACCAAAATCGCGGTGATGGGGGGGAGGAATACGAGCGATTAGAAAACGCGATATGCGGACGGGTTTCAGAGTGCTGAATAGTGATTGGTCGAACATTTTCATGCGAGCAACTGTAGCGGTCGAGGGTGTAGCGGCCGAAGACGTCGAGGGTAGCACACACCAGAGAAAGGAAACGCAGATGAGAGATTCAGGCCGGGTTAGACCCTGAACGGAACTGTTAACACTTCTTGATACTCATCCATACACCGGGGAAGAAGGCAGATCGAGTAATGGAAATGGTGTAATGCATAACGAGACCAGCAAGGAAAATGTGTATAATAACCGTTAACAATACAGGGGGATGAGTTACAGCTGAAGAATAACCTGTCTGGGTGAAGAGGCGATACCGACATGCCAGCTAAATAACCGGTGGGGAGCGCAGCGCTGTGGGCAACTGCAGGGGAGGGCCGAGGTAGGTGCCGATGTTGTGAGACGGAGAGCGAGGCGAGCGTTACGGTACGGTAAGGGAGAAGGGATCGGCAGATGAGAGAGGAAGGGACACCGGCCATCTTCGCTGACACGCGGTTACGCCATCTCCACCCTAGGTCCTCGCGCCCAAAAGTGTCACGGCATTCAAACAATACTGTTCAAGTCCAGGGGCGTTACACAACGGCGGCTTCTGGGACTATTCTTTAGCTTAAATCTTGTAAAATTATGCTTGAGTGATACTTCCAATCACTGAGAGACCCCGAGGATTTCGTTAAGAAAGTCGATCAAGTGAGAGAGTTGGCCGAATAAGAAGTTATTGGAAGTTTCACGCAGCTCGACCAAAATGTATTAAGTTATTTAGTATAGTTATGTAGCTAGTCATGAAGTTAGTCATGTTAGCCAGTAAGTATACTTAGTTAGTTAGTAAAGTTAGTTGGTTAGTTAATTATTTACTTGGTTAGTTAGGATAGTAAGTTGATTCGTTTGAATAGTTGGTTAGCTAGTTAGTATAGTTAGTTAGTTACTTACTTAGCATAGTTGGTTAGTTACTTGGTTTATTTAGTTAGTATAATTAGTTAATGACTTAGCATAGTAAGATGGTTAGTTAGTTCATAAGTATAGTTAGTTTGTTTGTTAGCATGGTTAGTTCGTAATTTTATTATTTAGTTAGGTAGTTAATATAGTTAGCTAGTCAGTCAGTTATTTAGCATAGTTTGTATTATTAGCACAGTTAGTATATAGTCACTCGTCTTGAAAGATTCACGCAGTTTGCCCAAACTTTAGATTTTTCACGTCTTCTGGCTTCCAGTTGTCCGTCCAGAAACGCGATCCGGTTAGATATGGCGATGAGGATGTACTAATCATTTGAAAAAATACTGTGTTTTCGGTTTCGAATTTTCGACCTCCGAGGGATTTGCCTTTTCTGGGATTTCTGCCTACTACACTCTCTGCGGGTCCATTTGGATTAAGAAGTTAAAGCGTAATCAGCAATTCATCGAACGATCCACACGGAACTCCGACAGAACTTCCTTTGGGACGGCCATTCTCCATCGTATCAATTCTCTGCCAACAGCACCACGGGACTCTCCAGATCAAAGAACGGCTGAGTCGATTGCTATTTGCTTCATATTGTTGGCTTGGTTAAAAAGCTTCTCCTACACTTCGTCCAGTACCTACAATACCTTGCGCATCCTTCGTATTAATAGTGGGAGTCGACAAAACACCAGCAGGACAATGTGCCAGAAAACTCGCCGCAAGTGGGATTTGAACTCAGGTGCCGTTGTAGGGTGACCAGCGATATCACCACTCTGCTATCGGCGAACGGCGGACAAACTGAAATAAATAAGGGAGTAAACATTATTCTTAGTACAAACGACTGCAATTCTGTATATATCGCTGTCAAGTCACCTCCCGCTAAACGAGCAAGGAGTCTAGTAAGCTGTATGGATGTCAAATACGAAGACTAAGCCTGTACGACATGTTTCAGACTCCTTCAAAAATGTGCGGAAGTGGAGAAGGAGATGAAGGGCCTGAAAGTGGAGATGGAGAAGCTGAGGAATCTCCCTCGCTATTCATCCAAAGAGAATGAAAGTGAGCGAACATACGCAAACACGGCTTCCTCGGATGTGTCGATAGAGGAGAAAGAAAATAGTATGTCGCTAGAGCTCGACAGGAATGACAACCAGTGTCTTGTACGAGAAAACCGTGGTCAGACGCGAGCTCAGCGAACAAAAGGAAATCTCAGGGTACCTCGAAAAGGCACAGAGAGTCAGACGAGGGAACAAGAGTTGGCTACGCCGCAGACGAAAATCGCGCTGCTGAAAACGACAAATGATCAAAAGATCGTAGTTAACAGGCAGTCATACGTTAGTCCTGCGGAATCAAACCTTCCTAAATCGGTGGAAGGCGGTGGCCGGGGTATCCGCGATGAAGACTGCAGGTATGATTAAACCACAAGGCCGTCTAGTTGATCACAGTAAGTGCATTGTTATAAATGGCATGCCTGAGTCTGTTTCCGACACTCCAAAGGACACAATATAGCATGACATAGAAATACTGCAGGAATATCTCAAATCGATCTTAATAAGAGACGAGAAAGTCACAGCGTTAAATAAAAGACTCAAAACATGAACCCGACCGACCGAGACCGTTAAAAAGTGTCTTTCAGAATGACGAACAGGCGCAGCTACTTTTGAGCAGGAAACCTGCTCTTCAAAATGCCCATTCATCGGTTTTTTTTCAGCGGGACCTTTACCCCGCAGAGCAAGAAAAATGGAGGAGACTCAAAATGGTAGTCCTCAGGCGGTCGAGTCTGGGTGAGACAAATCTCAGAATAGTGGACGGAAAAATTATATGCGTCCAGAGGCCATTCCTCTGGAGAAAGCCCATAACTCTATCAGCTTAGGAGTGATGGAAAGTTGTTCATCCCGATCAGCTCCGACCGGCTTTTGCATTCAATCCCAGGAAATGGATGAAAGACTGTGTGCCGGAGTTGCTCGTGCCAAATTGAGACTTTTGTATACCAATGCTCAAAGTTTCCTTTCGAAGATCGACGAACTTAAAGCGATAGTATCAGAACGAATCCCCTACGTCGTCGCCATAACGGAAACTTTGCTTAATGCCGAAATCGTGGATGCTGAGATTTCGATACCGGGTTACCAGATCTTTCGTAGAGACCGTCAAAATAGACAGGGCGGTGGGGCAGTCATATATGTAAGGGCAGGAATTTCGGCGGTTGAAAGAGCCCACACCCTCTCCCTTGAATATGAATCCGCTTGGATAAAGATAATGAAAAACAGTGCACAAAATCTAGAATTCCTGGCGATTTACAGACCACCAAACCTTCTGAGTGCAGCTGATGAGTCGCTCCTTGGTTTAGTCAAAGACGTAGCTAGACACTAAGAGGTACTTATTGCTGGGGATTTTAACGCACCTGCAATAGAGTGGGAAACTATGGCAGTTGACGGTGAGCCAGCCTCTTTCAGCAATAAGCTACTGGACCTCACACTCGATCTCCCTCTGGCGCAACATGTGTAGGTGCCAACAAGATTTCGAGAGAACCAGAAAGCGAACTGTCTGGACCCAGTTTTCACTAAAGACTTCTCTAATATCGACGAAGTGTATTCCAATGCACCTCTCGGAAAAAGTGACCATACTACGCTACTATGGGATTACACGCTATTCTCTCAACGCCAGAAGAGAACAGAGGACCAACCATATAAATGGAAGGCAGATTTTGACACGATAAAGAACGAATTGCTGTCCGTGAACTGGGACCAATTACTCAGGGGAGATCAGGAAGACGAATGGAGATCTTTTAAGACGATTTCACTCGATCTGATTAGGCGCTGTTGTCCACCTAAAGTACAAAAAACGACTAGTCGACCTGCTTGATTAACTAGGGACCTAAATAGGCAGCAAGGGAAGAAAAGCAAAAGATGGAAAATATTCAGGGAAACTGCGTCACCAGCGCATTTCGAAGAATTTGACTATGTTCTCCAATCTAGGGACACTGGTTTTGCACTTTACACTGTATATTTCGATTTCACTAAGGCTTTTGATCGTGTTGACTATGCTCTTCTTCTTCGCTTGAAACTGTCCTCTTTCGGAATAGGTGGCAAACTTCTGAATTTTATATCCCCTTACCTGGGCACTCGTACACAACGAGTTAAGATTTCCAATATTATCTCCAACCCCGCACGTGTGAGGAGTGGCGTCATTCAGGGTAGTGTACTGGGCCCACTTTTATTTTGCCTTTTCTTTAATGATGTACCCGATTTATTCCAGAATGGTAAGCCTTTCATGTATGCCGATGATCGTAAAGTTGCATATCGATATAAGCCGGCAGATCATGACATCTTGCTTGAGCTCCTAAAGAGCGATCTACAGGCTTTCGCCCAGTGGTGTCGCACATGGCGCCTTTCTCTTTCTTGGCATAAGTGCTCAGTCATGGTGGTTTGCGACGACCGCCAACCTCAACTAAGTATTGAAGGTCACGCCATAAATGTGCCTGGGGTTATTAAGGATCTGGGCGTATTATACTCCAAGAGTCCCAATCTCTCCGAGCACTGTGCCTTGATAGTCTCCAAAGCACGTAGAACGACCGGGTTTATCCTCCGAAACTTCAAAACTAGGGACATTAGAATGCGCCTTTACAATATGTACGTTAGACCTGGTCTGGAATACGGTTCGTTTTTATTTAGCCTCATGCGTGCTCCTGAGCGGAAGAAAATACAATCCGTTCAACACTTTTTTTACCAAGAGATATTTAACCCAGGAACATCGACATTTGTCTTACCAAGAACGTTGTCGGCTTACGGGCCTTGATCCTTTATGGTTCCGTAGATTACAAAAGGGACCATTTTTGCTATTTAAACTCTTATA